TAGGAAACAAAACTTCAAGAACACGGCCACACAGCCCGGAAGACCCACACCAGCCATCTTATGCCGGCCGTGAAAGCCTTCGACAATACATTGTTTTTGTAAACTTTTCCTGTTTTTCAATGTTTGTTGGGTTGCCTCCCTTATTGGTCTCTATATTATGTAATATCTTATACAAGAACTCACCATCAGAAAAAAAGTATGACCTGGTTCCATCTTGTCGTACGTAGAAATTTTCTCCAAGTTTGCAAGCAGATTTAAACCTCAGCATTGCATGGTCATGAAGACCATAATCTCTGAATAGGACATATTTGCCTGGTTTTAATACCTGACGAGAAAAATATGAAACATATTAAGCTGGAATTAATACGCAAAAATAGATAACAATAAAAGTGAAACATTTTGTGCCACTTTGGCTCACTCCAGTTAAACAGATTTAATATAATTTCATTTTATTTCTAGGATCACAAATGTCTTTAACAATATTGACTTTTATTTAAAATATAATTCCATATTAATTATAAATGTACTAGAAAAATACATTTCACAGTTTTCATAAAACACATTTAACAGTTTGAATCAGTTCCCATTATTTGCTTGAACCTGAGAACAGAAATCTTATTTTGCATTTAAGACATTCAAGTCATGTTCCTAGAAATTAATCCACTTCCTAGATGCTACAAGATGGATAAACTATTTCACAAAGTGTTGTCCCTGAAACAAAGTACAGGTAGTCCTCAATTAACAACTGCCCTGTTTAGCAACAGTTTGAAGTTATGACAGCACTGAAAAAGTAACTTTATGACTGGTCCTCGACCGTTGCAGCGTCCCATGGTCGTGTGATCGCCATTTGTGAGCTTCACAGCCGGCTTCTGACAAGCGAAGTCAATGTAGAAGTTGGCAGTAAAATCACAAGTCGTGGTCACGTGATGTCTTAACAATCACGTCACTTAGTGGCAGAGTTGCCAGTCCCCATTATGATCGTTAAGCAAGGACTACCTGTATGAATTACCTTTGTATCAAATTTTATCTTTTTTAAAGGAGGAGACAATCATGATACAACATTCCTTTTAGTTTAGACCATTTATAGCTTTCTTTAGGCCCCACAGATAAATATGCAAACAGCATGTGATCTGGGCAGACCCAGCAACTTCCCTACTTTCCTTTATGATTTTCTTCAACCTGCTATCACTTTGGAAGTTGCTACAAGTCCAAATCATACAAGGGCTGCTGACATATAAAACGCATTATGTGAACTAGCTCACATTACATGCTGTATCACAACTTTTTAAAGCAGAAATACATTCTCAGAGGAAAAACATGTAATTGTAGCCATGCTGGCTTACCTTATAAATATTGCGCAAAACTAAATGCATCTTCTCAGGATGAACGGCAGAAAGTACAAATATTAACATCACCACATCCACTGACTCTAGTGGTACGTTTTCCAGAAGATCATCTTTGGTCAGGTCACACTGGAACACTTTGCATCTTTTGGCATCATATAGAGGATTTTGCTGTGAAAGTAACATGTTTTCTTTAAACAAGAAACACTTGCAAGCATATAGCACAAGCTTATTTAAGTGTCCATTTTGAAACCTGAAGCTAGCACAGAAAATCATGAAACACAGAATAGTTAGACAACAATCCTTTTCATTATTTAGATTGTTACTAATACAGCTTATTATACTGTACCATAAAACTCACCAATGAACTGTTTTTCAAACTTGGCAACTTTAAGATGTGTGGACTTCAACTCCCAGAATTTCCTGGCTGGGGAATTCTGGGAGGTAAAGTCCACACATCTTAAAAGTTGCAGGGATTATTTTGGAACATGAATGCCCCAGCCATGCTGTTATAGCCATAGTCACCATTTGGAGGCTCCAATATACAATAATATAATAGTAATGGATACTTACTAACCACCTATGAGAATCTATCTTTCATGAACATACATATATTTTATTCATTTGGTAAGGATATGAAGTTAACAGCAAAAACAAAACTGCTATAATTTGCTCTTGGTGTAAAAAAGGCCATTCAGTGGAATGTTTCTGATTTAATGTTTCAGGTATTCCGCTGAATGAGGTTCACTTATATACATGCAGAAAAAACATTTCAATTTAGCAAAAGCAAAGATATTTTCCTCTCTGTTCACCTCAGTATAAAACAGGAAAAGAAGATCTAGTTATTATTAATATTGTATATAAAAATTATGTACAGTTATATTTCTTCCAACATTTGGGTGTGTTTTTTAAATTGTATTATATGATTGTTTTTACTATAGCAACCCAGAGTCATTTAGTATTGGTGGCCTCAAAAATTTCTAAAGTAAATAAATAATTTAGAAGTTCTGTTCCATAAGCTTCTGAGTAATATTTAACCACTAAGCACAAAACTCAAATTCCAGGCTAACATAATTTAAGGAACTGCTGTAGCAAATTAAGCAAATGGGTAAATAAACAGGTAGTTCAAGTGGAAAAGTATTAGCCCCTAAATGACCTAAATACAGACTCTGACCTATCTAAGTCTAGACATTACAATAGGACTTCAGTCAGTTATGATTATCTAACTCTCATTAATTTCAGCAGATCTAGTAAGATTAAGTTGGATCTAAACCAACATAATATCAAGACTGCTTTGCTTTTTCTTCATTCTTCTTAAAGAAGCTTGCCTTATTTTCCAATATTTCAAATTTATGTACTCATTTATTACAATAAAAAATGACAAATATTTCACCAACCTTTATATATTCTACTGCTCGGGGAGAAAAGTCACAAGCATAAGCAAAAATATTCAAATCTTCTTCTAGAAGAGGAAATAAGCAGTTCCCAACACCACAACCTGCTTCAAGAATTGTCAGTTTTTGATCTGCAAACTGAAGAGGGGAGAAAATAATAATTACAATTGTTTCATCCTTTCAAAGAAAACAAACTAATCTTTGGGCTAATAACAGTGGCTTTTAGAATCAAATTTATTACAGTGAAACCTCCATTTATTGGACCTCATATAACCCAGCATGCAATCACCACAAAGATGTACTCTCAAATTAATGATTGACAATAAAATCAGGTTTTGTTATACTCCCATTTTAGGGTTGGTTTTATTAAAAAGCAAGAAAACCTTGATTTAACAACTAAAAATAACACCCACTGTGATTTAAGCCACACAGTATATATACAGATGTTGCATCTTACAACATACAACAGATGGAACCATCTAGGTAAATTAGAAGTATAAGATCTGCCAAAGACAGTTTTTTGAAATTTAAGATATAAAACAGAATTCAAGATACTTTTCTATTTTATATGAAACTGAGTTACAGTTGAATTATGGAAGTTTATCAACAAGCTGGACAAAATTGCCTGGAATCCATCTAATCCTTTTGCTGTGTCACTGTGAATACAGACCCACATTTACCACTCAACTGATGTTTACTGTCCTGAAAGTGACAAAATGCTCAGAATACAGTCCAGAAACCCCACTTATAAACTGAATGGATATTGGTTTTACATAGTACAACACCCCTTATCTTTTGGGGACTGGGACCAGATTCATCACTGGGAAAATGAATCAACCTCAATCAAATTGGTGGGGGGGGAGGGGAGAGATGAAATTGAAACTTTTCTGAGTTGTGCAACCATAATTCACTCATAATTTATTTATAATGATATCCATTTTTGTTGCAGATATGAAGAACATGTAGCCCTCCAGATGTTACTGGGCCACATCTCCCAACTATCCTACTTTGTGTGGCAAGCAGTGAGGATGCTAGGAGTTGCAATTTGTCAACAGCTGGAGAGCTGATAGATTCCCAACCCTGCTTTAGAAATTCAGGTTAGAATACACGTAGTAGTTCCCATCCAAGCATTATAGACTTTTTGATCTGATAGTAACAGAATTGTCAACATTCCAGATTAATGCTCTATGATGATCCCAGCTACAGATTTCCAATTATTGAAATACTTTTCCTAAAATACAGTATAGTAGCTGTCTTGATAGGAAAAGAATTATTCCCCACCATTGTAAGAATAAAACTATTTTTACAATCTTATATTGGAGACAATACAAAGATGTAATATGTGGTGACTACTACTGTTTGACATAAATCAAACATCTTTAAACTGAGTTGTATCATTTTCTTTTATAATTGTTGTTTTTCCAAAGGTATGAAGTAAAGCTTGAAACATGTACATTCCACAGGAAGTAAAAGCTCCTTTGTGGAAGCAAGGCCCTCTGCATACCAAGTAATTGACATTAATATATCTTAACAAATTGCCACATCAAGTCTTATCATGGAAACTGCAAAAGAAGTATACGTATTGCATCAGCCTAGCCTGAAGTTTATGGCATTCATATACAAGTATTACACAACAGAAGATAAAATGGAGATCAAGTAGAGGCTTCCAATTCAGAGATTTTTCTATAGTAGTCCTTTATTGCCCTCTGGTGCCAAAGAATATGAAACTCACTTTACAGCAGGCTTTTAATTCTTCAAACTCTCTAGTTGTCCAGTGTCTATCCTTGAAAAAATTGGTGCTGTTCCTTTTGTAGAATAGATCCCAGTTCTTTTGTGCTTCTTTCTCAAGTTTCTGCTGCTTGAAATCAGATACTAAGACCTGATTTTCAGACAGTTGTTTTGCTTCTTCAGCTCTTAGAATTCTTGTCTTCTGCCCTGTTTTTTGGAAAGACCCATCTTCACAAGCAATTATTACTTCATCCGTATGAGCAATAGATGAGTTACTTTGGAGAGCTTTGGATTCATTCATCTTAATTAGGGGACACAGCAAATTCAGAGCTGCATTATTCCTTAATTAAATAATTGCCCCTCTCACATATCACGCAAGACCTAGATGTAAAAATACAATAAAGAAAAGGTTAGCATTTTGCAGTTTTCTCTGGGTGTGCTACCAAATGATACAAGTATCTTTGTAATATATCATTTCTCTTACTTTCACCTTTTGAAAGCATACTTTAATAAATCTACAGACCAAAGAGCACGTTCTGCATGCCCTGACAGGTCACAAAGAAAAATAATGTTGCCAGCTACCTCACCACTGAATTCTGACCAAGATGGACTAGAAAACATTAACTGAATTCCTATGACACCCTAAGCCAAAATGTAATCAAGTTTCAATTTAGCTTGATGTGTAAACCCAGCCACAGTGCTTAATTCATTCCACAATTCATCTGTAGGCTGGGTTTATACCATGCACTAACCCATTATTCAATAACTGATTGCCCCAAAACCATAATTACATTCATTCATTCATTCATTCATTCATTCATTCATTCATTCACTCTTCCCTCAATAAACCATGTGATACATACAGGAAGCCAATGAGCAGGTTCAAATAGCACAGAAAGCCATACAGCCTACACTGAATTTGTACAACATGTATAATTGAACCATAAGCTAACAATATGGGCTAGGTTGATATAATATGCTACAAACATTAGCTGGGTTGTGGTTCAGTCTGTCATCCAAATACATTTTAGTGTAGTGTTCAAACCCATTACAGAGCCAAGACCCTCCATCTTAATCTTTATATACCATCAAAGCCCACAGTTTGATCACAGTTACTGGAAATTCTAGTAGTGGTTTCAACTCATCTAGAAGGGGCCAAGCTGCAGAAGAATGATCTAGACCAGTGTTTCTTACACTTTTTTCTCTCAGGACCCCATCCGACTTTTTAAATTATAAGAGAAACCCCAAGAAGCCTTTGTTTGTATGAGTTACATTTGATATTTACCATACTAAAAATTAAAATTGACGCATTTGCTGCTGCTACCACTTCTCACAACTGTTTGATGGGATTTTATTGTATTATTTTTCAACATAGGCTGGCAAATAATTTTGATTTTGTGGACACCTGAGAGGCTCTTGGGGGACCCTCCCAGGGTCCTAGGACCGCACTTTAGGAAACGCTGATCTAGACAATCCTGAGCTAGATGAACTATTAATCTGATTGCATTTGATTGGCTTATTCTGCACTCAGTAGTAAGGAGAGGCAGTCCTTCAAAGGGAGGCCTCTTGGTTAGTCCTGGAAAGGGAGATCACCCGTCTAGACTACCAATATCCTGAAAAAGGCAATAGCCAACCACTTCTACCCTGCTGCCCCCCCCCCAAAAAAAATCAGGGATCAATCTGAAGTCACCAAGAGTCGAGTTCTCCTGGCAGGAGCCTTCACCTTTCTTTAGCTTAAAATCAATGAACTAGATGAACTATTAATCCGACGGCATCTCAATATAAACAAGACAACTTTTTATACTCCTGCTTTCCACAGAAAGTGGAGATCGATTTTCGTTCAGCTCCGAGGAAGAGCGCGTGTCCAGCAGAAAGATCCAATTATTCCTCTATGAAATCTCAGAGCGCCGAGAGCTGTTATCGGTTCAAGAGCGTTTACGGATCAGATCAGATACGGCAGTCCCATGCGATGGTAGGTTTTCCTCTCCCCGTTGCCACCTGCCTACCTGTTTTGGGCCTGTAAGACCTTCCTGGTCCCGCTGTCCGCGCCGCCCTCTTTCACCTCAGAGGCTTCCCGGGTCTCGCTGCACCCCAGCCACGCGGACGCCCTGCGGTATCTCCAGCCCGCGTAGCCCCCTTCGACCGACTCCCCGGGTGCGGAGCGTTTTCCCAGTTGCACGCCGCTCCGAGCCCGGAAGAGAAGGCGGGCGAGCCGGGGCGGGGCCGCTGCGGGTGTTCCTGTTTTTCTCGGTGGGTGCCGGGGCGGACAACGGAGGACCCGCCCGGCCCCCCCTGGGCCACATCGCGG